ACGTAACAGCCTCTCATTGAAAGGATTGACAATTGATGGGCTATTAACCAGAGTGTTGTATATCTTCATCAGGGACACTCTCTTCCTCCTCTCTCCCTCTCTTCCTCCTCTCTCCCTCTCTCCCTTCCTTCCTCCCTCTATCTTCTTTGGTGTTGTGTCCAAGCGACGGTCTATGGCCTGTGACTGGTATTTATAATCAGACATAAATCATACATTCATACATTATTTATATTCATTTATACAGTAATCATATATGCACATAGTTAATGCTTATATAATGTTTATGTGCTCCTGGTAATTAAATATGCACGTAAACTATTTATCATTTACCAAAACTTGAATTGTTGTTGAAAAATTTTATGATATGAAGTAAAGTCTAGATATAATTATTATTTTTATTATTACTATTGTTTTATTATTATTATTATTATTATTATTATTATTATTTGGTTTATTATTATTATTATTATTATTATTATTATTATTATTATAGTAACAGCCAATAGAGATAGAAAAGACAGAGCAACATATATAGAGAAAGAATGAAGGCTAATAGAGTTATATAGATGGAAAGAGAGAGAGAGATACGTCACACATAATCTACCATAATATCGCCCTCCATTTTTTGTGCGAGCGAGGCGATAAAGTCTACGGTTGTCTCCCACCACGTTTCACTTAATCTTATATTATTAGTAGTAGTATTAGTATTTATTATTATTATTATTATTATTATTAATATTATTATTATTATTGTCATCATCATCATCATCATCATCATCATTATCAGTAGTACCTAACATGTGTAATGGTGGTTTCTTCTTTTCTAATAACAAACAAACTATTAACAGGAAAGGAATCGAAAAAAAATGATATAATTAGATATTTATAAATCGTTTTGAGAATTATGAACTTTTAATTTCTAACGAATGAAATGAATTATTGGCAAATTTAATAGACCAGGCAAAGCTGGTCACACACACACACACACACACACACACACACACACACACACACACACACACACACACACACACACACACACACACACACACACACACACACACACACACACACACACACACTACATAACTGTATAATATCTACCATTATAAATCCTTCATGTTTTTATGGTCCAATAGACGAATGAAATGAGGCATAATAAAGCCATTCAACCTTTTACTGAACAATTATTATTGCTGGATAAATCTTTTCATATATCAAATCATCACAATATTAATTAACTGACAATTTTTTCACTTTGACTTATTTTTCTTTTCATTTTATAGCCGGAAGACAAATGCAGATGATACATATACAGGGTGTTTCGAAAATACGATTCGTAGTTCTGAGGCGTATTTCTGAGACACACTGTACGGTACATAACGATAATGGACCCCCTGACTGTCGTATCAATCGGTTTTATTTATTTCGAAAATCTGAATCGTAAAGTCATAATGGTGTGTTAACGTGACGCTCTAGGATTAGTAACTAAAACCAGTGTCTGTGTACCCCTGTGCATCTGACAAAGGAATCTCTCGCCTACAGTACAGTACCTTGTGTATCTGCATGTGTGCTTAATTTAATTTCCTGGCCGGTAACTGCTGCGGTTATTACGCCCGTGACTTGTTAGTTTGACCGCTTCCTCTATTTCTTTTGGGGGGGGGGAGTCAATTGAAAAGGTCAGGTCAATACATAACAAAGGGTCATGTAAGGTCAGCTGAAGAGTGATTTTCTCTATTCCCGGAAGACTGATGGCAAGACACCAGCTGGGGGTCGGTGAGGGAGAGATGGATGGAAATTGTTTAGGAAAAAGGTTGGAAGGAGAGGGAGAGGCGGGGCACTACACGATTCACAGGTCGAGGGTTGGTCCATGAAGATAAATGGTTAGTGACGCGTCTTGTCGGAGAACACGGTAACAGACAGATTGATTTAAGACCTTACCTGGAGGGTGGTGTATAATACCATGTATGTATGTATATATGTATGAGAGAGAGAGAGAGAGAGAGAGAGAGAGAGAGAGAGAGAGAGAGATCCCATTATATCTGAGCTTTCATTGAACACACGTACAGTATATATATATAAATATCAATGACGAAGATATAAGCAGTAATGTGGGGACTAGTAAGAGGTGGCAGTGTAACTCCTGCCATCTCTTACTTAAGCTCCAATTATTAGACCCCAAACAGAATAACAGGCACTATAGGTCACTTTGTGTGAATCTATTTAGTTTTCAGTCACATAAATATTAATAATAATTCATAAAAAAATCTTTATCTCTCCATCTAGACAAAAATCTGTTATAAGGTGTATAAAGTGAGGTCATAAACAGTCTTTGAAAATATTGAAGTGAATGGGTTTAAATGATTATATATATATATATATATTTAAATCTACCAAATATTTCCCTTTATATTAAGGTAAAAATATCTCGGTGTTTTAAGAGTCTCATTTTAGTGAGTATGGAGCCATGACGATAGTGAGTCTGTTTTGCTGATGATGATGATGATGAGGAGGAGGAGGAAGAGGAGGAGGAGGATGATGATGTGTTCAGGTGGTAAGGGGATTGTGTACCGCTGGCGTCAGGGGCCTTACTAGTGTGTATTGTGGTGTGGCTGAGGTGTGTGTGGGTTTGTGTAGGTGTGTATTCGTGTAGGTGTGTGTGTGTAGGTGTGTATTCGTGTAGGCGTGTGTGTGTGTAGGTGTGTATTCGTGTAGGTGTGTGTATGTGTGTGTGTGTGTAGGTGTGTATTCGTGTAGGTGTGTGTGTGTAGGTGTACCTGTGTAGGTGTGTGTGTGTGTATTCGTATAGGTGTGTGTGTAATATATGTATTCGTGTAGTGTGTGTGTGTGTGTGTGTGTGTGTGTGTGTGTAGGTGTGTATTCGTGTAGGTGTTTGTGTATGTGTAGGCGTGTGTGTGTGTGTGTGTGTGTGTGTGTGTGTGTGTGTATGTGTTTGCAAATGTGAGCGTTACAAATACACAATTTCAACATGCACAAGATAAACACACACACACACACATACACACACCCCCGAGATATAATGATGAAAAGGTTTTAAAATATACGAGAAAAAAAACTTGAAAGTGAGACAAAAACAAAAAGAAGTCGAGAAAGAATTTGTAATTTAGCTGAGTAGGAACATTTCGCTCACAATTAAAAAAAAATATCTTTCGCCTCATTTTTTTTAAGTTTCTAATATATTTTACAGTGTGTTTATTTATAGAGCGTATTTTACAATACATGCATTTTCATGTGTTTTAGTTATGTCATTTATTATTTTTTACATCATTTATTCTTAATATGTTTTACAGTTTCAGATTGTTTTATTTATATGATTTTTTTCTACACATTTGTTTGAAGAGAATGATGACACACTTAAAACAACTATTAACTTTATTGTCAACAGGTCATAGGTCAAGTTTCTGTCGAGGGCAGATGGTTAAGGTCAGTAGGTCAAGATCAGTAGGTGGTGAGTTAAAAAGTGAGGTCACAAAATACATTTATATATAAAGGGAATTCACATTTTAACAGTTTATCACACCCAACAGGTCACGTCTGTCAGCAGAGTAATTGGTAACATGGTTCAACAGATTCCTATGAATAGTATTTTGTTTTATTATACTTTTAAGCGTATGTTAGTGCAAATTTTTACCCTGCATATATATATATATATATATATATATATATATATATATATATATATGAACGGGTAAAGTATGTGCAAATGCTTAAAAAACACGTGTTTACATCCACATACTTGGGATCACACACACACACACACACACACACACACACACACTGTCTATACATAGTATGGTAACCTCCACCACCGACCCCACATAGTGACTCCAATAACTGGTCTCCTCGGTAATAAATCTAATATATTCCATTCGTCCAGTAAGGCGCCGAGGCTCTCTCAGGGACCAGCGGAGGTGGTCATCCTGTCTCGCTCGCTGTTGGTCCGAGTTTAACTTCTGCTGACACCCTGAGTGTTATAATTGTCAAGGGAACTGGACTTCTAGCCTTTAGTAAATCGATGTTGCTACTGACAGAGGTGGAGATGTACAGTCGGGGTCAAAAGTCTTGAACACTTGACAGTATTTGGCATATGTAAGTACCCGAAGATTTGAGGTATTATGGAGAGTTTTATCCCATTTTGTGGTTCAGGCATAATATGTGATGACAAGTAGTGTTATTAGTATATCCCAATCATATATGTATAACTCAGAAGAGATGCCAGTTATTGCTAAGTGTTCAACACGTTTGACCCCGACTGTACGTCCAGGAAGAGGAGTAAGAGTGGGAGTAATGGGAAATTCACTTCTAATCAATCCTCTTTAAGTGACATTTTCTGTCTTAATCCTTTGAAAAAAAAATTATAATTACAACTCTTTAATGATGATAATTAATTTTAGTAATAATTATGATGCGTATATATTGTATTTCGGTGTAAAAACTGTATGTTTGGATTAATTCCTGCATATGTGTATAACCTGATTAGGGTACACTAATTAGAACCTGTTGTAAAATAGGTGCATCAATTTACATTTTGAAAATGAAAGACTGTACAGTGCAGTGCCGGCCATGCTGTCTCCTCGTTTACTGATGGCATTGTCATCAGTGTGCTGGGTCACACCGCCCAGCCTATGAGACCCACTTTCACAGTGTTAATCATTAACATAAACAAGTAAACAGTTTATAAACAAATAAATTAATGACAATATTCAAAACATGAAAAAAAGAGGTGAATGAACATCATCAAGCGAAAAAGATTGTCAGTTAGGTCAGGAAAGGCAGACATTGGGATGACTATTCGTGGCCAACAGATTTTGGAAAGCAAATGAATTCTGTCCAAACTATCAAACTGATTATCTGAAAAATAGATCAATAAATGAGTCAATGTAATATGGACATAAGTAAATAAACCAATGAACAATAAAAATTCTACAAACATAATGTAAAGAATTATACACACCAAGTTAAGAGTCTACAACACTCACCTATCAAACACACGAGGACAAGGAACGACTTCATATATTTGTTTGTGGAGGTCAGGTGACGGTATGAAGGACTAACACATCAACACAGGCCTACACGTTTACACTACACCGTTATCATCTTTATAATCCCTTAATAATTACTTTAAAACGATATAATACTACTATAGTATATTCACATTTGCAGTACCTTACAACGCTCTAACGTTTGTTTTGAAATCCTGACTCACATTGCGTGCACGTGATGCTTGCGTGTACAGACAGAGTTCATTCAAATAAAAATACACTGTTTATGGTAACTAGTTTTCCCAGCAGGAAGTATTGATAGATATTAATGATTAAGAAGAATATATCGCCTATATGTAAACACGACTCAGAGCAGAAAGACGAGGAGGACAGTGTTTTGGTGATGGTGGGTCCGGGAGATCACACAAACGCGGCGTCAGGGGTGAGACTGACTGAATCGTGGCCACCACATTCTTTTATACCTTGTAGTGGCGCGCCGGCTCAGTGCTGGTGATTGTTGTTCTTGCTACTATGTGTACTTAGTAATGCTGATGTTGCATGTGTGTGTTTTTGTTATAAGCGTGTGGTACTGTTATGTTTGTTTTACCCGTTACTTGCGTGTTGTTGTTGTTAGTGTGTGTTACTGCTTTGAATATTGTACCTGTTACTGGCGCGTGTTGTTGTTGCTACTGACGTTACTATTACTGTTGTTTTAGATGTTATTGATGATGTATCTCGCATCTCCTGTTACTGGCGTGTGTTTCGTATACTGTTGTTACTGCTGTTATTTACCTGCGTTGCTAGTGTTGTTAGTGTGCTGTTGTTGTTGTTACTAGTGTGTGTCGTTGTTTCTATCTGTTGTTTGTGTCGGTACCAGAGTGTGAAGAAAAAACGTAAACAAAATATAAACTGCAAATCGATTTTTATTTTATTTAACTGTATTTGGAAGAAAAAATTCCTATCATAAGCAATTGAGTTTAGTGACTGTTTAATAAAGCCCTTCATCCTCCACACCCCCAGAAAAGTTAAGCCTCCTCGTCCTGAAGAAGTTTTTTTTACTTCTTCAGGTATAGAGGTGGGTTTGTCCGTCGGCCTTCGGTGACTGAACTGAGCAACTTAAACTGTTAAAGTTATTAATGACGTCCCCATTACGGTGAAAAATAACCACGATTACAACGCTGTGTGGGGAGACATTTCTCACACCGAAATACAACATATGGAAGTGAAGGAAATACAATAAATGATAGAAAAAGAAAGAGACGACGTAATCGTGTGACTTAAACTGAGCAGACAAACCAGACGGAAAATCCACCTCAGCTGTAGTTGGATTTCTCCACCATCTTCCAACGACCGTGACACTGGGATGGGACACCGTCTGAGTCAAATCTTACGTGGCACTACCGACCAAATGTTTCAAGTGTCAGCGGTATGGTCACCCAGTTAAATTATGCAAGACTACAGAGGACGTATGCTCGAGATGTGCGTCCCCTGGACACCAACATTCCGACTGCAAGATAAAAATCAAGAAATATGCAGTTTGTGGAGGCCCTCACTCCTCTGACCAGGAGTGTCTCAAATGGAGGAAAGAGTGTAGGGTAGCTAAGCTGCGAAACGTGAAACAGCTGAGCTATAAGGAGGCTCTCCTTTAAGTGAAGACAGGAGAAAAAAAGAAACGAGAACCAAAGAAAACGGAAGAACAGGAAGAAAGGAGATACGGGAGATACTAACATTAAGTCGAACAGAATTTATTAACACCTACGAGCAAGAAGAACAAAGATATTTGTGGGTGGACCGTCCAAAAGAACAAAAACAAAAGGAGAAGAATACCAAAATAACAAGTCTACGGCTGTAATGGCCTAAGATGTCCTCGGCCAGAAAAAACAAATCAACAACAAGCCTTGTAAACCATCAATAACACGCAAAAAAAATTCTTGTTAGTACTTTCCGAATCTTTACCAAAGTATTGACTTGAGGTAATCAATAGTGTGTCTTTCGTGTATAGAGATATATACTGTGGTTTTATTAAGATTTTATAGAGACAAGAGTAACAGGACTGTGGGAGGACTTTTGCTGGCAACTGTACATATGCAAATTACATATTACATGTAAATTTTGTATCGTCGATATAAAATTAACTCCTGACTAATAAAACGAGGAAACTAGTATTTATGGTTGTGAAAAATGATCAACAGCTTCCAGTACGGATTCCGGATCCTGCCAGATACTATGAACGCTCGCACTTGTTACCATAAGAACAATTAATTGCTGTTATCGTAAAGAGGTTGCTATAGGCCTTTAAGTAACCAGACCTACGACTGTTTTCTTGTCTTGCTTGAGGATGATGGGTGTTCTTCCACTCACCCTCGAGAGTCAGAGCGAGGATCATCCCAGATCTCCATCCTTTGTGGTCGTGGTTGTGCTGTGTTCGTTCAAATAAGACTTTATGGACGACAAGTAATTTTTAGACTACTAAGCAAACAAATGGTAACTATTACGATGCTGGTTTAATAAGCATATTATGTACAGCCAAAGATTACTGACAATTATTATTAACAATTTATTCAAGCTAAACACCGATATAAATTAAACAGTGAGAGTCATTTGCTCTTATAATAGTGTAAACTAAACATTGTAATATAAGAACCTCTCTGGTGGACTGCGGCTCAAAACAGCTAAATAATCTCTCCTCACATTGAAGGGAACAATGCTAGATAATGAAAAATAACACTCAATAGGTATCGACCAGCCTATTGTTGTCGCAAATATGAACCACCTAACAGTATATTTGTGAATATTACATCGATATAATTATAGACCGAGATTAGCACAGGTAATATGAAATGATATAATTCATTAGCTGTTGTATTACTCCACCAAGGTGTCATACAATCAGGTAAACCAACCTGTGTCGTATATCAGGAAGACACCAAGAACCCCTGTGTCAAAATTAGGTGTTGCTTGATTCCTCCAGTTTCCCAAACCCGTATATAACTTAATGTCGTAAAGGGATAGTCTCAGTAGGTCTGATATAACTCTTAACCCCTTGTGTACGGTGTTGCCTCGAAGCTGGATAAAATCGCCTGGCGTTAGTCACATAAAGTATTAAAAGTGGAGTCCCTGTAGTGAATGGGTTAATATGACAGCTTCTATTTCACTCACAAAAGCGCCTTCAGAAGTAACACCGAGTCCTCATATACTACAAAAGCCCCAGAGATATTGAATAAAGACAACCTGAGATTATTATTTTTTCACCCGTGATTCATCAACACACCAGTAAAGTTGTTGTAGCGCCTGATTTAAGCCCGTGGGAGCCCTGTGTGGAGCTCAGATGTGTGGAGCCACTGAGCCCCACACTAATTAATTTTAATGACGCGCACAAGCAAATTTGTATCGTGGGAACTGATACTGCGATTATCTTAAACCATAAATAAAACGTCTAGTGTAAAGTAACTTGTTTAACTATGAATGAAAAAACAACAAAAAACTTGCTTAACATTTAAAATATTGTGATGGGAAAGAACGTAATTTTACTCTAACGAAAGAAAAAATTTATTAATGATATCAAAAGAAAGAAATTCTTAACCAGCCACAAGAATTCACGAGTAATGGTAAAAACGGGAAAACATTATTTAACCCCCCCAAAAAAAACATTCTAGAAAAACATATCAACCCCCCCCCATCCACATTGCTACACAAAGTATATACTGTAGATCTCCAAATATGTTACAAGACACACATTCTCTACTTTCAGATTTTTCAGTTAAACTATCACTTCCTCTTTAACTGATATCAGAATCATTTATTTCACGAAGATCATTTGCTAATGCCTAATCTAGATACGTTCAGGGACTAGAATCTGTGTCCTAGGAGTGTGAAGAATCTTTAGTTCTGTCTACTACTACTACTGCAAGATAATGATAATAATTAAAACTGATAATTAAAACTGGTTATACGAATGATGATGATGATGATGGTGGTGATAATTATTTCCACAACTTATAAAACTTTGAAAACAATAAGATTAAATATTAAGTAAAAAAACAAAACTGAAGAATAAGATAACTACGAAATATCTCTCCCGTTAACTTGCATATTTTCTTAAAGGTAATTCTCTCGGACTGATGAAAGTTTAATTAAGTTTATGCATTTGATTTCATGAAACTTATTGGAGAATTAATTCCCAAAGTTGTTTTAAAATATAAATCACTTTTGCATCACCAATAACTGCATAACCCTTTGAACTATCCCCTGTGTTGTAAAACTATTCGATACAATACTGTAACATCAGTGGCTGTGTTGATTATGTATCTGTCGTGGTTTATGTGATTACAGCTATGAAATACTGTATCTAATGGCTTATACCTTCTCACTAGTTGTTTGTATTTTATTATTTGTTGGCATTGAATAGTTGTATGTTGGGAAGGTGCAGGATATTACACACACACACACACACACACACACACACACACACACACACACACACACAAAACGTCAAATTTCCTCCTCTGAAAAAAATTAATTATTTACCTGAGATATTTGTCATAATGTAAGAGGAAATTACATGATATTGTTTTTCTTTTCGTTATTTTTATCGAATATCATCCCTTTAGTGCAGTATAAAGAAAATTACAACAAGAATAGATACTCAGGAATTACCATTTTCTTTTTACGTTTTATCCAAAGAAAATGGAAGAGGATAACTTAAATAATATTCCCAAGTACCATTTAAAAGCTCAATATACAATAAACTCAAACAGCCACACATGTAAAAAATATCACGTGATGTACATTTGAACGTCTTGTGTTATGAACCTGGTTATATTATGATAGAAAGGCCGATAAGTAATTTAAAGATGGAGGTGTGATAAAGTTTAAGTACCAGAGAATAAGGTACTTAATGAAAAATGAGAGTATTACGTTTTTCCAGAACCTTGAAATAAGCACCTTGTATTTATCGGCTATCCTTGGTTAAGTTGTTCTCCATCGTTGTTTACATGCACTGTCTAGACACCCAGGAATCTATATACATTTTAAATATTCATGCTGGACTGTATAACTTGCTCAGTTTATAAGCATGTTCATCAAATTGTAAACCTGTATGATTTTACTGAATTATTATTATTATTATTATTTTTACAGGAAAAAAGCCCATATGAGGGAATTTAAATGCTACTTAGAATAAATGAGGCATAATGGTATAGTCCCAATGGCGAATATTTCTCACTTAAGATTAAATAATCGAATGTTGAATAAACTGAGATAGTGAAACGGTAACACGAAAAAAGTTGACATTACACTAAATAAACAATTGAAGTTAAAACGTTATTGTCGATATGAAATAGAATGTAAACACCCATAAGGCAGATGTAATGATTAACTTTGTAAAATCTATGAATGTATTTACCTTTATGCATGATATCATTTTACAAT